GATGTTGATGGTAACACCACTGACGGTCAAGGGATGGTGGTTAGACTGTCTCTCATTGGTGATAGTCATAGCCTGGCATTTGTGTGGCACGAATGTTGGTTGCCAGGATATTGTCCACATCTTGCCGCATTTGGACACGGACTGCTTCAGCGTCTGAGGAATCCTAAATGATGCTGAACGTTGCGCAGTCATCGGCGAACATCCCCACTTCTGACTTTATCATGGAGGGAAGGTCAGCATGATCTGGACAGGTTGGGCGAGTGGGCAAATCAATGGCAGATGCAGTACAATTTGGATAAATGGGAGGTTATTCACTTCAGAAGCAAAGCCAAGAAAGCAGATTACTACCTGAATGGCTGTAAATTGGGAGATGGGAGTGTGCAGCAGGACCTGCATGTCCTTGTGCATCAGTCGCTGAAGGTAAGCATGCAGATGCAGCAGGCAGTAAAGAAGACAAATGATATGTTGGCCTTCATTGCGAGAAGTTGAGTACAGGAACAGGGATGTGTTGTTGCAGTTGTACAGAGCCACGGTGAGACCATACCTGGAATATCGTGTGCAATTTTGGTCTCCTTTTCTGAGGAAGGATGTTCTTGCTCTCAAGGGAGTGCATCAAAGGTTTACCAGGCTGATTCCAGGAATAGCAGCTCTGACATATGAGGAGAGATTGATTAGGTTGGGCTTGTTTTCGCTAGAGTTCAGACAAATAAGGAGGGGGGGATCTCAGAGACTTATAAAATTCTAACAGGACCAGACAGGATAGATGCAGGGAGGATGTTCCCAATGGTGGGTCTGTCCAGAACCAGGGATCACAATACGAGGATTTGGGCAGACCATTTAGGATGGAGATGAGGAGGCATTTCTTCACCCAAAGAGTGATGAGTCTGTGGAATTCATTACAACAGAAAGTAGTTGATACCAAAATATTGAATGTATTCAAGAGGCAACTAGACATAGCACTTGGGGTGAATGGGTCAAAGGTTATGGGGAGAAAGCAGGATTAGGCTATTGAGTTGGACGAAGAGCCATGATTGTGAAGAATGGCAGAGCAGGCTTGAAGGGCCAAACGACCTCCTCCTGCTCCTATCTCCCATGTTTCTATGTTTCTATGAAGCAGCTGAAGATTTTGGGGCCTAGGACACTACCCTGAGGAACTCCTGCAGAAATGTCCTGGAGCTGAGGTGATTGACCTCCAACAACCACAACCATCTTCCTATGTGTCAGGTATGACTCTAACCACCGGAGAGAGTTTGATTCCAGTTTTGCTGGGCTCTTTGATGCTCACTTCCTGACGCCTATAGCCCATGCATGATCTACGAGGCACAAGTCAGGACTATGATAGAATACTCTCCCACTTGCCTGAATGGGTGCAACTCCAACAACACTCAAGAAGCTATACACCATCCAGGACAAAGACGCCCATTTGATTGGCGCTGAAACCCACAAATATTCACTCTCTCCACTACCAGCTGCAGCAATATGTACTATCTACAAGATGCCTTGCAGAAATTCTCCAAGGTTCCTTATTTAGCACTTTGCAAACCCATGAATTCTGCCATCTAGAAGGATGCAACATCTGTAATTTCCCCCTCCAAGACACTCACTGTTCTGATTTGGAAACATATCACAGTTTCTTCAGTGTCATTCAATCAATATCCTGGAACTCACTCCCTAATAGTGTTGAGAGTATCATTACATGACATGGAATAGAATAGAAATTCATTGTCACGTGTATGTTTACATGAAAAATACAGTGAAAAGTTTTATAAGTCGCTCTACCATGGCACCTACATTAATGACTGGAGTCATATATAATTACAAAAAAGAAGCAAAATTAAGACGTTGTTCATCACAGTTCAGTTAATGGATCCTGGGCTCAGGGAAAGCAATTAAGAAATGATTGAATACCCAAAGGCACAGCTGGGACAAGACCACCATGACAGTCCACTGGAATACTGGGCCGGAAGCCTCCAAAGAAGACCGCTGTATCGGGCCAAGGCCACCACTCCTGGACGAGAACGCCTGTCAGGCCACTGGAATACCTGGCCTCAGAAGACAAAGAAGACCTCCACACGGGGACAAGAGCTCCATGGTGGGACAAGACCACAACACCGGGAGACCGTGACATCAGGCTGAGCCCTCGGCCTCAGCCTAGCCTGCAGGTCCACCCAGGACCTGTTCCTCGCTCACTGAGAGACCCTGGGCTGGGGTGGAGCCACGTCCAGCTCATCCTGGTGTTGCTGCCAGACAATTAACACCTATATCCCATGAAGTGAATACAAAGTGCTGAGAGTTTTGTGAGCACAGCTTGGTTGGGTACGTTGTTAAAACTTGAATAAGAGTCACTGCACTCGAAACATTAACTCTGCTTTCTCTCCACGGATGCTGCCAGACCTGCAGAGTTTCTCCAGCCTTTGTTTTGGTTTCAAATTGTTTATTCATACATGGGACATGGGCATCAGTCACTGACCAGCATTTAGTTCCTGTCCTAGTTGCCATTGAGAAGGTGGTGGTGGTGAGCTGCCTTCTTGAACTGCTGCAGTGCATATGCTGTACATTAACCCACAACGCCTTCAGGATTTTGACCAAGTAACAGCAAAGCAATGGCGATATATTTCCAAGTCAGGATGGTAAGTGGATTGGAAGGAACTACTTATGTGGTAGTGTTCCCATGTATCTCTGCCCTTGTCCTTAGAGCAAAAGTGGTCTTGGATTTGGAAGGTGCTGTCTCAGGTCTTTTGGTGAACTTCTGAGGGCATCTTGTAGATAGAACACAGTTCTGCTGAGTGTCAGTGATGGAAGGATTGTATGCATGTCGATATGGTGCCAGTCAAGCATGCTGCTTTTTCCTGGATGGTGTCAAGCTTCCCAAGTGTTGTTGGAGCTGCACCCATCCAGGCAAGTGGGAAACATCTCATCACACTCATGACTTGTGCCTTATAGATGGTGGAAAGGCTTTGGGGAGTTAGGAGGGGAGTTACCCACCGCAGTATGCCTAGCCCCTGACCTGGTCTTGTAGTGACTGATTTATTTGGTAAGTCCAGTTGCATTTCTGATGTATGCTAACCCCATGATGCTGATAGTGGGGGAATTCAATGATGGTAATATGACAAAATTACAAGGTGTATTTTATCCTTTTTTTTCTCCAATGATGAAAAGAACCAGGATTTTTAGTTTTAGCTTTCAGTCATTACTGGGGTCTTGAAGCTGCATGTCAAAGCCCTTATCCGTCTCTCTGTTACAGCTAAAAGCTGGGGTTCTCTTCCTATTGCTCGGATTGCGTCGGAGATAACTTATTTATGAAATTTGCCTTTGCCAAGGATGTGTTTATGGGATGTTACTATTTTGGAACAATTAATTAGTAGTAGTTAATATCTACATTTTATTTGTTAAGCATTTTGAATAGAGTTACAGTTAAGCCAATTCTTTTATTTTTATATTGTCTGTATTTTAACTGTACTGTAAAATTAAAGTATGTTTTGCTTAAACTCAAGTAGTTTGACCAATTGAATTGCATCTGGAACACAATGCCTTACTTTAAAATAAGAAAAACTTAAGGTCGAGGCTACCTTCTGAATATAGTTTGAGAGGGTTTAATCTGGTCCATAATAGTGACACCATTAAATTTCAACAGGTGATGGTTGGATTATTTCTTATTACAATGGTCATTGCATAGCATTTGTGTGGCTTGGATGTTACTTGCCACTTTTCATCCCAACCTTGGATATTCCCCAGATCTTGTTGCATATGAACATAGGCTGTATCAGCATCTGAACAGTCACGAATAGTGCTGAATATTTTACAAATCTTCAGCATCTGCAGTTCTTTGTTTCATTTTAAACTTGGTACCTTTCCTGATAGCTGTTTGATACATTTGAGTCAACTCAAAATATTGTCTTCTTTAGTCTTGCCTATTCTAACACATTTTGACCAATTTTCTATAATCTACACTCCAGAAATTTGAGGTCATCAAAAACACTATTGCCCACGCCATTTTTTTTCTACCGACAGTTGCTCACCATCATCACCTCTGCTCACAGGCCTACACTGGTTCCCAGAAAAAGAACAGCTCAATTTTAAAATTCTCATTTTCAAGTTCCCGTCAATTTCCTTAATCAGCTCAACAACCTAATAATGCTCCTATGAAGTAACTTATCATGTTTCAATTTATTTCAGGTACTACATGACTACAAGCTGATGCTGTTTCCACACACTCAAAAACATCCCAGCACCAGCATAAGTCATGTTGCACACTTTCAAGACTGAAGGAGAAAAAAAAGTTACCACATTAAGATTTACTACATAGGACATCCATATAACAACCGAAAAAAATCATTAAGCCCAACCAAATTATGCTGGCACCCATGCTCCACTTGTCTTTCGTTCCAAATTCTATCAATATGACTCACATATGCTTGTCCGGCTTCTCTTAAATGCACGTTTGTTATTCACTTCGACTATTTCCAGTGGCAGCAAATTCAACATTCTCACTGCTCTGGATATTGCAGTCTCTTCTAATTTCCCTCTGGTATATCGTATGTTTCTACTTGAACCATAGTACTCAAGTCTTGCGGAGGGTATCTATTTAAAGCAATGAGTTATCACCCAAAAATTTGGGTAAACTGATTATTTGCAGATTCAATAACATATTCTGTCGCAAATATATTAATTCAACATTGCCACGATCCAAAGATCGTCTTTTAATACCTGTGTGCAAGTACTTTTTTTAAAACAAAAACAAAAACAATTTGCTAGGCAAACTCATCAGGTCCCCGGACAAGAAACGTTAACTCTATCCCTGCATCGACGCTGTCAGACCTGCTGAGTTTCTCCAGCAATTTCTGTTTTTGTTTCAGGTTTCCAGCGTCTAATGTTCTTTATTTTGCTTATTTGCAATACCAAAGCGTTGGTAAATATCAATGCCCAATAACTAGATTTATACAAAACAAACAGCATTTTAACCAAAGTAAAATGAACATTGGAGAAGATTGAACATTAACCTGATGTTCCTCCTGACACATTTCCATCGGATGTGTTTTTGTTGCCCCACGGTTTATTCACTGGCAGAGCGGGTGGAATGTAAACTGGCTCTTCAGCACCGGACGGGGAAGTAACTTCACGCAACTTTTGCACCGAAATTCTGACTCTGTTGGCAGTCCCATGTTGCCAGACACGGCCGCCTGCCGCTACATTCACCGGTACTTCCATTCTCCTCCCGCCAATTTCATTTGCTACCGGAGATGAAATTTATTTAGCGATTAATGACGGGTAGAGAGCTATATCACTCAGCTTGGGCCCCGGGCCCAATCCCGCCAGACATCTGCTGCTTCCCGCTTCGCAAACACCACTTGGCTGGAGTTTCAAAGTAGTAAAGTCGATGTGGGTCGACAGTCACCTGTATCTCGCAGCCCGTTTAAATTAAAGTTTAGACAAAAACGTAACCAGTGCGAACCACTCGGTAATAACCAGGAGCTTGCCCAAGTCAGGCGGCTTGCTTGCGTCTCTAGGGGCGACAACAGCATATGATCCGTCTTGTTAACAGACTAAGGTGGAATCGCTCCTCCCCGAATTGGGGTCTATTCGGTTTGGAGGAGAAAGGGGAGTTGCAGCAATGCTGTCCTAGTTTTGGGGAGGGGGACGAGGTTTAGATGCGAATGCTATCCGGGTTTTAGGAGAGGGACGTGTTACTGCGGCTCCTGTCCGGGTTCTTCATTGTAAGAGGGGCAGGCGGTGGATCTCTTTCCGGGATTTTTATTTGGTGGGGGGTGGGTTGCTGCTCCTTTCCGGTTTCGTTTAGTGGGGTTAAGGGGTTGTTGCTGCGGTCGGCTTTCTTCTGGGGGGGGTGGGATGTCTGGATTTGAATGGTCCTCGGGTTCTTGTTCGGGGGTGAGAGGTATTCCTACCTGGGCCTTGTCCAGGTTTTGATTTGGTTTGGCGGGGGGGAGTGCTCCTGTGTGGAGTGGGTGTTACTGCAGATCCTGCTAGGGACTTTCGGGGCAAGAGGGAGGACTGCTGGAACTCCTGTAAGGAGGTGTTTTGAGGTAGGAGGGTTTAATGGGTTCCTGTCAGGATTTTGTTTTGAGGGGTGGTGTTCCAGGGATTTGTGTACAGATTTCGTTTTACTTGTTAATCTAGGGAAGGGATAGTCCTGGGGTTTCTACCCGGCGCCGTTATTTCTGCTCGAGCTGAAACTTGGGTTTTAAGATTCATAAAAAAACGGCTAGAGCCTCATCCGGGTTTTGCCACCGTTAATCCATGGCCCCGCCCCTAAAGAGAGCAAAACTAGTCTGAGATTCCCAGCACGCGCTTTCCATCATTCGCCGATTATTTAGCCTTCCTTCCTTTTAAAAATAAATCTGGTCAATCTGAAGTCCATTCCTTAAAGTTCTCTCATTTGCGGCCAATGAACTGCACAGAGCTGAGTTATTTTATTCGATTGATGACACTAGTGAATGTGCGACTCGGAGTGTGGATTTACGGCGGGAAGACGGCTCCGGTAAGTCATGGCTGCAGGGGTGGTTCATTGAACGGAGAGGTCCCACGACTGAACTGACACTAACTTGACTGCGACAATCACTCAACCCGCTGCGGCAGGACAAGTGCCGATGTAGCTTCACTGACAGCAGACACCGTCCCAATGCTGTGGGGGAGGCGACGGACTATCGCCGGAGGAGCTGAGTACATGCTCCTACGCTCTTCCCCTCGATACAGGGAATTTGAGCACTGCTCATTGAGCCCCCTTTTCTAAAGATAGCCAGAAAATCAACGACAATAACTTTTCTTCCCATTTGTACACTATGATCACTGATGTCCCTCAGAATCTACCTTTGCCCCTGTTGTAAATCTCTCAACTACACGCTGCCCTTTGCCAACATCGTCCGAAAACACATTGTAGCTTTTCAAATTACACTCCCTCACCGTATCCGTGGATAACAAGGAATTGGTGTGTAACATCCAGCTGTGTCACCGCCACCTCTTTTTGGTTCCTCTACTGCTACTAAATTATCAGATTGCTTGTCCGAAATCCAATGCTGAATGATCAGAAATTGCCTCTATTTAAATATTGGGAACACCCAAACAATTGTCCTTGGGCCCTGCTACATATTCCATTCCCTAACAAATATTCACTGTTCTTTTCCATGGCAATTTAGGTTGAATCAACCTGTTCTCAACTTCGGTGGTGTAGTTGATCCCACAATGTGCTTTCAGTCTTGTATCTTATTACAAACACTTTACATTTCATTGTCACCCAAGTCTTTCCTATCTGTTTATCTGCTGCTGAAATCTTTGTCCACGTCTTTATTACCTCTAAACTTGACTATTCCAACATATTCCTGGAGCTTGGTCCAGTCCATGGGTCCACCATGTCCTTGCTGCACCGTTACCCTCCATAAACTTGTGGTTATCCAAAACTCTACTGCTAGTATCCTAAAACAAACACATAAGTTAATCTGTCACTGACTGGGCTCCTGTTAATTAAAGCCCCCAAACTATCCAAGATAGCTGTGCACTTCTAATTCTGGGTTCTTCAGAGTATGTGAGCTGAAGCTTGCGTTTCTGTGGCAAACTCTGAGCTGTGTCAATTTTTGTTTTTGGAGCTTTTGTCATTTCCAGGCCTAAAATGTTCTTTTGCCATATCTTAGACACTACTTGATTTCTGCCGCATTTTACCAAGCATTCACAGGACAACTCACCGCTGTGTCTATCCCAGAATTCCCCAGCATTTCTTGCACCTATGCCAGCTTCAAAACCTCATTGAATGCCGAGTCCAGCACTGTCAGTTGGAGCTGCCCCACCCTTTAAACCATCAACCCTGCATGTATTTTGCAATGTCTACTCGCTCAATCAGGACATCTCCTCATCCACATCAACAGTATTAAGTGTGCCCCTCATTTTAATCTCTCTGTCATTTCCATGGGGAAAACAGCCCAAAATAGGGCAGAGTCAAGATGTGTGGTGTGCTCCCTGTCATTTGGCTCCTCATTCCTTCTGACTGCTCTGAGCTAGGCCTAGAATGGTACTAGTGGCTGCCTTTAACTTACTGTGCTGTGAACTCCTGAGCAAAGGTTATCTCCGTTTGCTTGACAGAGGCCTGTTGACAGTTATTTTCCTGGCTTTGTGTCTGTGCAAAATGACATGGTAAGATAGCAATAGTATGAGCCTGGTGTCTCTGGCTGAGGGGGCAACAACAAGGCAGGGATGCAATACGTAGGCTCAAAATGAATGCTATGACAGTGAGCAAGCAGAGTGTAGAGATGCAGCCTGCTCCAGTCCATGAGTGCAGTGTCATTGCTGTACTATTACAATAATTTTGTGTGGATGTAGCTCGAGATGCAGCACTAAAGCGCAGAAGCATCCTGTAAATGATCAGATTGTGCCATGAGGGTTCTTGGAGACTGGCATATCAAATGGCAATGCCTACAGATGTAGGTATGTATGGCCACTGCTGATGCATTTGATTTGATTTATTTTTTGTCACATCTATCTAAGTACAGAGGGAGTTTTGTTTTGTGAGCAGTGTAGGCAGATCATAACATACAGGGCATATACATATGATAGGATATTTAGATAAGAGCAAGGCATACAAGGTTACGGCTGCACAGGAGGTGCACAAAAGCAAGATCAAAATTAGATTTGAAATTAGAGATGTCCGTTCAACACTCTTATTGCAGCAGGGAAGAAGCTGTTCTTGAACCTGTTTGTATGTATGTTTAAGCAGCTGTATCCTCTGATGGAAGAGAGTATTACTGGGGCGGGGGGGTTCTTTGACAGCCTTTCTATGGCAGTGAGAAGTGCAGATGGAGTCCATGGAAGGGAGGGTGCTAGCCTGGGCAGTGTACACAACTTTGTAGTCTCTTACAGTCCTGGGCAGAGTAGTTGCCATACCAATCTAGTATGCACCCAGAAAGAATGCTTTCTGTAGTGCATCGGTAAAAGTTGGTGAGGATCCTTGTGGAATTTCCTAAGCCTACTGGGGAAGAAGAGGCATTGTTGCACCTTCTTGACCATCGCATGTACCTGGGTGATCCAGGACAGATAGTTGGTTATCGTCACTCCTAGGAACTTGACACAGTCCACCCTCTACACCTCAGCTCCATTGCTGTAGATAAGGGTGTGTCTTCCTCCTTTCTTCCTGAAGTCAATGATCAGTTCTTTAGTTTTGCTGACAGTGAGAGAGAGATTATCATCATTGCACCATGACACCAAGCACTCATCTCCTTCCTGTATACTGACTCATCGTTGTAGGCCAGATATAAAACATCAGCAAACTCGTAGTTGCAGTTTGTATGAAATTTGTTCACAGCTGAGAGTATACAGGGAGTACAGTAGGGGACTGAGTATGCGTTCTTGCGGGGCGCTGGTGTTGAGAATTATGGCAAGGAGGTGCTATGGTCTGTCTTCACTGATTGCAGTCCATGGGTCAGAAAGCTGAGGATCCAGTTAAAGGCCAGAGCCAAAAACTAGGTCTGAGTTTTGAGATTAGTTTGGTTTGGATTATCGTGTTGAAAGCAGAGCTGTAGTTGGTAAGTGGGAGCCTGACATAGATATTCTTATTAGCCAGATGTTTCCGGGATGAGGGCAGGGCTAGGGAAAAGGCGTCCACTGTGGACCTGGTTCACCAGTTAGCAAATTTCAAGGGATCGAGGCAGGCTTGGAGGCTAGAGTTGATGGTGGGCCATGATGAACCTCTCGAAGTACTTCATGATTATGGAGGTCAGAGCCACTGGGTGGCAGTTGTTGAGGCACTGTGCACGAGTTTACTTTGGTACTGGGGTGATGGTCTTCTCAAAGCAGCTGGGGGGAACTTCGGATTATAGCAAAGAGAGGTTAAATACATCAGCGAATACTTCCGCAGAGTGATCAGAGTGCACAGCCAGGGACTCCCAGCTAGTCACTTTCCTCGGATTTACTCTCAAGAAGGCCGCTCTGATGTCTACAGCGGTGACTGTGGGACTAGATGCAACAAGCGCAATTAGGGCTGGTGACACTGCCACTGGCAATCTGCTTGAACCGAGCATAAAAAGCATTAAGCGCATCAGGGAGCGATGTGTTTTTGTCTGCTACTCTGTTCTGCTTCATTTTCTATCTAGTTATGTCATGGTTGTGCACTGTGATGTTGGTGCCTGTTTTCCAACATGAAGGTCATTCGGAACAAGTGGCAAGCTGAATTTACCAACTGCTTGTTCTGGTATCCTTGGCAAGTGTGATTTGATAGGAGTCTGAAGATTAAGGCAAGTTGAGCCATTAACAAGCATTAATCCCCACATTGCTTCTCACAATGCCATTTGCAAAAAGCTTAAAATGAATGAAATTATCTTGTCATGATCTCTGCCACATATCTCGGCATGTCATTCAGACCTATAAGATTCCATCCCCTAACTTCATATGCTCCATCATGGATGATGTCCTGAGCCCTAAGGCCTGGAATTTCATTCCTAAACCTCTACATTTCTTCCTCATTTAAAGTGTTCTTAAAACCTACCTGTTTAACCTTTGGTCATGGAACAGTACAGCACAGGAACAGGCCCTTTGGCGCACTGTCTATGCCAACCACAGTGCCATTCTAAACTAATCCCATCTGCCTGCTCATGGTCTGTATCCTTTTTTCCAACCTGTTCATGTCTGTCTAAATGCCTCTTAAACACTGCTATTGTATCTGCTTTTACCACTTCCCCACCAGCGTGTTCTAGGTACCTACCACCCTTTTGCATTTTAAAAAAAAAGTTTGGTGTCAAATTTTCCTTTAAGGTAATAAAGTGTCAAGGTACTTCATAAAGGCAGTATATAAATAGAAGTATTGTTGAATTTCTTCAAATTTATCAGTGATTACTTTATACTAGTACCCCTGGTTTTGATACCATCACCAAATAGAAATATTTTTGTCTACCTCATCAATACCTCTAATAATCAATAACTATTTAACTCTCAACCTCTGCCTTCTAGACAAAGGGGCCTTTTTTTGCCAGTAGGAGAAACTGCAATTCTGATATCACTTTTGTGAATCTTTTAGCAACTTCGCTGGTTCCTCCATATCCCGTTTTGAAATGGAGATCAGAACTGCAGTGTTTCAAGTGAGTTCTAATCAACGTTTTATACAAGTCAAATGTGACATTTCATTGCAATTCTAATGTGTGTCTATTGAATTTGCTTTATTGCCAGATACAATAAACTTTCCTAAGATCTAAAAGCATAGTTGTAATGGCACAAATATCAGAGACAGACCAGATAAAACAGGTAAATGTCTTTTAAGGTTACTTTAATATTGAAAGTTAGTAAACACGTTACTTAAGGTAACAGGATTTAATATGATGTTCATTTTTTCTTGCTTTCGCACAGTTTAAAGAATTTCTGGGCACATACAATAAACTGACTGAGCACTGCTTTATGGATTGTGTAAAGGACTTCACAACCAGGGATGTAAGAACAGAAGAGGTATTATCCCATACTATTTGTATTTTGTGTATTATTTTTAAATCAATACATTCATTATGCAATATGACATCTATTCAACCGCTATTGTGAAAGAATTGAAGAATCGTACCCTAGCTATAATTTTAAAATGATACATAAATGATCGCTAATATTCTCCACTTAAGACTCTGAAGCAAGGCCATTAATTTTTACACATTCATTTAGGATAATTCAGTTGAAATGTCATGTAATTTTGAGAGCCTTAATGCTTCAATAATCAGAATATGGTGTACAAAGAGGTTGTGGTATATCAAATATGGTGTAGTACTCAGTGCAAAAATTATGTTAGTCAGGATGAATACATATTCTAAACTTCTTAATACAGTGAAGTCCTGCCATTCTCAGGGGTGTTATGGTCTTTGAAAACCTTGCAAATGCGCAATAAATAGATAGGTTCCAATCATTCAAAAATTGGTGTGTAGAATGCAAGACCATATAACCAGTTGTTTTCAATAAATGTAAGTGTGCTTCTGGGGAAAGATAATTAAAATATAACATGTATTACACCTACCTTTTTTAGAGTTCTCTAGCAATGCACAAAATGCCCCAATGGGTAACAAAGCTGATAACATGTACAGCCCGTACTTTCTCATCTGTGAAATAAGCCATGGACATCTTCTATATCTTAGTTCTATACTCATTTGGATGCTCTCATTTTTGTTGACTAAGTTTTGTTTTGTAAAACTTTTGTGAAGTAAATACCATACACTGTTTTGTGGATAAGTGAACTTGTGCATGGCAGGACTTCACTGCATCATGGAGAACAAATTTTAAATAAACCTTTTTGATTTCCTCCCTCTGTTTTTATATTCCCATAGGTTAGAAATAGTGGTCTGAAATGGCACACTTTCGATTCTTTTCACCACTCTTCAAAATTTATTGCTCTTTCAAACTAACCCGAGATCCTTTTTCTTACTTGAAAGCTTCAAGCAGAAAGAGAATGCAAACTAGAAAGTCTAATGGACCAATATCAGAAAATCAAGAGGATATTAATAGTTTTATTTCTGTTGTTCGAGGAAACCTTTCTGGTATATTGGCCAGAATTTTCTTCCAACTTTTCAAATCATTTAATCTCATTGTGCAGTGTGATCTGTTATTAGAGGGCAGTTGTAAAATAACCAGAGCCTACTATGAATGTGAAATTTGACCTGGATCACAAGTCAAAGTGTATAACATTAGTTAATAATGTACTCAGTTGAAAATTGAAGTTTTAAAAAGGAAATGTTCAAACTTCTATAAAATAAGTTAAGTTTTATTATTTTGCTGATGGTTATAACAATTCCAACTGCTGCACAAATACAGAAAGTGTGCCATTTCAAATGTCCAGGTACTGTGATTTTTTTCTTGGTCAAACCTTACCTTTGTGACTCAAAGCTGAGTTTTAAACTAATAAATTCTTCTGTATTTCATCACAAGCAGTTGAAATTTCCACTCCAGCCATTTAATTTCCAAATGTTGAATACTGTGGTGAGGAAAAAGACCAAGCAAATGCCAAACACCCTATTTTGTGATCGACACAAGGAATAGGAAAAGCAGAAGTATGATCCTTTGGGACCATTCTGTATTCAATGCAAAATACAAAATTGCTTATCTGCTTTTTAGGGAATATTTACAAGGAGATTTAAAAAGATTATTAGGAGAAATTTCTCAATTCCTTTCTGGTTATCCACCCCTGCATTTAACATCTTTTCAATAGCATTTGTGAACAAATATCCCCATAGTGTATTAAATTTCTTCATCTGAAATATCCAGCTGGACATGTTGCTCAAGAATGTGGAGCACTGTTCTGCAAACAGCTGTCTACTGGTAAGATTTGTTTGCATGCACATACAGTCGATTGGGGGGGG